CACTTGAACTACAGCGCCACTTCCGGTTTTCTGGTGGTTTATTGGAGCCAGGAGTCTCACGGTCTCTCCTGCCTGGGCTGGCTTTGAACCGCGATCCTCAGATCTCAGCCTCCTAAGTAGCTAGGATTACAGGCGTGAGCCACCAGTGCCCGGCAATATTCATTATTTCATAGCTTGAGTTGACACCATTATTCCCCCTTTTTTTTTTTCCAGTCCTGAGGCTTGAACTCAGGGCTTAGGTACTGTTCCTGAGCTTCTTTTGCTGAAGGCTAGCACTCTACCACTTGAGCCACAGCGCCACTTCCGGCTTTTTTCTTATGTGGTGCTGAGGAATTGAACCGAGGGCCTCAGGCATGCAAGGCCAGCACTCTACCATTAAGCCATATTCCCAGCCCCCCCTCCCCATTTCTACATGCTGAATAGGAGGTCTCAGCCCCATTTCCTTCTCTTCCCTCATCCTGTATACCACCATTGACCCTGAGATGTCTTCTTCCTTTTGAGTCCATCTATTTCAACACTACAATAATCCTAGTCCAAATCTCTGCCATCCCTGGACTTCCAAACTCATCTGCTAACCATGTGACTGCTAATGGGTTAGTCTCTCTATTGATTTAAGTGTCCAACTTGACTAGATTAAGGGAGACCCAGGTCGGTATTCAGCCATTATTCCTGGGTGTGCCTGTGGAGGTGTTTGTGGGAGAGATCACTATTTGAATCAGTGGAATAAAGAAACCCCACCCTTAACGTGGGTGAGTGTCATCCAGTTCTTGAGGGCCTAGACCGGAGAGAAAAGCAGAGAAAAAGGTGAAATTACTCTCCCTTTGGGAGTTAGGACAGCCATCTTTTCCTGCTCTTAGACACAAAAACTTTAGGTTCGCTGGTTTTTGTACTCCAAGCCTTGGAGCCACAAGCATTCAGTATGTCTGCCTTTGCACTCAGTGGCATTAGAACACTGACTTTCTGTTCGCAGGCCTCAAACTTGGGAGAGCCACACAACCAGATTCTCCACTTCAGCTAGCCGTCAGCTTGTCATAAGACAGCTCAGCCTCCCACGTCCCAGGACCAGTTCCCCAATATAGCCCCTCTCTCCATCGGTTCTGATGCTGGAGAACCCTGACTAATACACCTGGGTGTGGAGTACACTCCCTGATGCTCTGCAGGCCCAGTTCCATCCTTCAGAAGTATCCCTGTTCAAATCCTACCCTCCCACTTCTACATAGGCCCACAGGACCCCCACCCTCCGATTCCTACACAGGCCCATGACCCTTAAACAAATTATATACATATAGGGGCTGGGAAGGTGGCTCAGTGGTAGAGCGCCTGCCTTGCATGCCTGAGGCCCTGGGTTCGATTCCTCAGCACCACATAAGAAAAAAGCCGGAAGTGGCACCGTGGCTCAAGTGGTAGAGCGCTAGCCTTGAGCTGAAGAGCTGAGGGACAGCACCCAGGCCCAGAGTTCAGGCCCCACGACCAGACCAAAAAAAAAAAAATTATATACATATATATATATATATATATCTATATATATATATACATATATATATATATATACACACACACATAGAGAGAATCACAGTTGTAATATAAAATACTTGTGAATGTATTTTATTATGATAAAGTTAAATTTAAAGAGATATAGAGCCAGGCACTGGTGACTCATGCCTGTAATCCCACTACTCAGGAGGCTGAGATCTGAGAATCAAGGTTCAAAGCCAGCCCTATCAGGAAAGTCCATGAGACTCTAAATCTCCAATAAACCACCAGAAAACGAAGTGGCGCTGTGGCTCAGGCAGTAGAGCGCTCACCTTGAGCTGAAGAGCTAAGTGACAAAGCCCAGGCCCAGAGTTCAAGACCCACGACTGACCAAAAAAAAAAAGATATAGAGAACAAATATGCACCTATGTAGTCATATCCTAGAGTGAATGACATTAAAAATGGTAACTTATTTATTGCAAATATTTCCCTCTTCTCGGTGGTGGTGAGGTGATTTGAATCCAGGATGCTGGCCACCGGTAGCTCTACTGAGCTACTTCCCGGTCCTGCCTTTTGTTTTTTTGAAGGGAAGTCAACCGTACATCACAT